TAAAATCTGCCACTAATAAACGAAGCACATATGAAAGACGAGCAATTTTTTACGGACGAAAAAAAAAAGGTCAGTTATGTTGGATTAGAAAATAATTTCTCATATGGTCGAGGAGACAACGAAGACTTGTATATTTTGCGTAGTCTACAGGGCACATTGATTTTTCTTTGTTTTACTGTTTCCATTGAGAATGGTACTCCAGTCTTAAATGATTGATGGATACATACACCTACCTACATTTGGTTTAGGCACCTATTTCGGCTTCTAGGCGAAGCTTCAACTTGTACGCGTGAAACCGTGAAACTGTGAAAGTGGTATTTGGAACTTAACTGAGATAAATAAGGAACAAATTAAGGGCCCGTTTGGTAGGGATTTTGAGAATTGATTTTTTGATCGTTAGAAGAAAAGTGGGGTCCATATGTGAGAGAAGAAGTCAAAAATTACGACTTACATAGTAAAATAACAGTAAAAAAAATCAATTTTTTGGGACAAAAAATCCCTAACAAACGGGACCTAAATATTAGACGGATTGCACGTCTTCCTTTTTTCGCCCCTATGTCGTCCATGTGGATGACATGGGGACATAAAAAAGGGATCCTATCAACTTGTTTTGACTTACGATAATAAGCTCATAAGCTTGATCTTGCTTCAACGTCGAAAAACAAAAAAAAACTTCTTTCTCCAAGTTCAACTCAAATGTAGCTCCCTTCTTTTCGTTTGGGTGTGAAGTAGCATCAAACTAAAATACCCAAAAAACATTAGCTTTCCTTGGAAAGGAGGTGATCCAGCTGTACCTTATAGTACAATTACCTTGTTACGACTTCACTCCAGTCAGTAGCCCTGCCATTGTCATCTCCTTCACTGCGATTATGGTAACGACTTGAGAGATGATCAACTCTCATAGTGTGCTAGGCAGTGTATACAAGGCTCGGGAACAAATTCACCACCATATGGGTGATCAGCAATTACTAGCGATTCTGACTTTAAGCAGGCGAGTTGTAGCCTACAATCCGAACCGAGGATGGGTTTTTGGGGTTAGCTTACCCTCGTGGGGTTTGCTTTCTATTTTTAAATTGATTCTTTTTTTTTTTGGGTCTTTGATTTAGCAATCCCAAAGTTTCTTTTTGGTCCAATCAAATAAGGAAAAATCTTGTCTTTTTTTCCCCCCAAAAAAGGAAAGAAAATAAAGGAGCAATGAAGAAATAGGAGAGCAATTGAAGGAGAATTACAAGTTTTCGGAGCTAAATTTAACATTCAAAAAGTATAAGGACTAAATATCATATTTTCAAAAATTGCATCAGATCGATTTTGGACGATTGTGAAAAGTGGAGGATTCAATTGAGAAGATTCAAAGATGAAGCAGAAGGACTAAAATTGTACATAAGAAGGACTCGTGCTAAATTAAAGGAGTATATCAGTGGTCAAATTGAAGGCGGTGAAAAGACTGAAGCTCACAATTGAAGCATTGAGCAATGTGATTGATTCCAAAAGTTCCTCCTGCACGCAAAAAACTTGTACCATGTGCGATCATATGGTGGATGTTGGTGATCCTATTTCGTTTCCTTGTCGACTCAACCTTTACTTCAAGAGCACAACTTTTACCTAATCTTGGCACCTAAAAATAACGTGTCTTCATCCACAATACAAGAGGAGACTTTTGGTTTACAAATTACAATATAGCTACTTACAAAAAAAGATAGCCAAGAAGGAAGCCTCGTGAAAAAAAATACATATATTCATCCAAACATTGAAGATGCTTTTTGTGGCAAAACACATTCGTATATCAATTTCATATATCTACTGCTTGGGTTGAAGAAGAAGAAAAATTAAAAGAGATTGATCAAAAAGCAATTAAAAGAGATTCGAAACTTCGAAGAGTTCTTTTCAACCTTCTTTTAAAATTTTAATTCTGGGTGATGTTGGACCGATTCTGTAGTGTTCTCATAATTAATATGATGCTTGACTAATTAAATAGATGCTAGGATAACGCTAAATCTTATGTTTTGAGATTTTGATATTAAGTCCTCGTTTGGTACTCATTAAATTACATTCAATTTTTTCTATTTTATTTTCTACCACAAAATCTTTCATAAAATAATATTACACGTAAATCGAAAATTTTTCCTCTTTCTCAACCATTTATTTTTCAAAAAAAAAAAAAAAAAAAATGTCCACTCCTTTTCATCTCCAAAAAATAGGGGCCTAACGGGAACTAAGACATATTGAAGAAACCATCATCATAGCATAGTTTTATGTTGATGACATCATCTTTGGATCTCCCATTGACTCTTTTACTCATGAATTTGCTAAATGCATGAAGTAAAATTTTGATATGAGCATGATTAGAGAATTGAGTTACTTTCTTGGTTTCCAAGTAAAGCAAACTAATGGTGGATTGTTTATATCTCAACCAAAGTACACAAAAGACTTTGTCAATAGATTTGGGCTAGATAACAAGAAACATACTAGAACACCCATAAGCATAAGTTTTAAGTTAGGTCACGATCCTACAGTTAAGAGTGTTGATCAGATACTATATAGGAGTATGATAGATAGTTTACTTTATTTTACTGCCAGTATACCTGATATAACATTTAGTGTTCGAGTTTATGCGAGATTTCAGGTTGACCCTAAAGAATCTCACTTGAGTGTTGTGAGGCATATCATTCGATATGGTAATGTTATTATAGATCATGAAATCTTGTACTCTAGAGATTCTAATCTTGATCTTACGGGCTATTCCAATGCCGGCTGTGTTGGGAATGTCGATGATAGAAAAAACACATCAGAGGATGTTTCTATGTTGATACTAATCTTGTAGCTTGGATGAGTGAAAAACAAAATTCTATCTCATTATCCACGTCCGAGGCCGAATATATAGTTGTAGGTAGTAGTTGCACTCAATTGCTTTGATGAAGAAGATGTTGAGTGATTAAAGAAGTAAGTAGGGAACTATGACTACGTTTTGTGATAACACAAGTGCTATTAATATTTTCAAAAATCTTGTTAAATATTCTTAGACGAAACATATTGATATTAGATAGTACTTTATTCGAGAGCTTGTAGAGACATGCATTGTATCTCTTGAACACATCTCCACAGAAAATCAATTAGCTAACTTGTTTACCGAGCCCTTAGATGGTCTAGGGTTTGAGCTTTTAGGAAGGCTATTGGTTTGTGTACCTCTTTGATTAGGTACTTAGGTGTATGTATGTACAGTTTGTGGAGTTCATTCATTCTTGCATGCTTTTCATTCTCTGTATATTCATTTTGTTTGGCTTGTTTCATTAATTTATTAAAAAATAGGAATTTTTTTGAAATTGCAGCATTATATTTGATTTGCTTGAACATGCTTCTTGTGACCAAGTATGCGTACAATTGATGAATATATTATATGGTTTCCATTTATTTGTTTAGGTTTTATGTGGAATACTTGGTATAGGTCTCTTTATGTACCATGTGCATAGCAAACATTATAATTTTGTGAATGAGTTTTGACCGTATGTGTGAGATTTGGAATGACAGTCATCTGTTGGTGAGGTGACCTCAAACAAGAATCGACCCTTAACTAGTTTGGCCTAAAGTTCTAGTATATTTCCCTTAAAAGAAAAAGATAACCGAGAGTAAACATTTTGAAATACATGAAAAAGTGATATACATCTTATACTCTTCTTTGGAGTCTATTTGACTCGAGCAATTAAGCCTAAGGGATCTCTCATAACTTGATGCACTATGGTTAGCTGACTAGAAGTTATCGGCCCAAAGCTTTTTATAGGTTCATCTTAATCGCTTAATGGAGAAGGGATTGCACATAAAATATTAAAAAATATAATGTTCTTTATGATGGGAAGAGAGAAAATTTATACACTGAAAAATTAATATAGGCTTTTTATTTAAAAGGTCCTATTAGTATTGGGCTTGATTTTCATTCACAGAGAAAAACACTCATTTTGTAGAGATGTTTAGCATGTCATTTTTCACAAATTTATATTTGAAGTCTTGCTCCCCTGAAATTAGTGGCATATTTCACATATGGATCACTTATACAATTTACTCTATTTAAACTTGAATTGAGTGTGTGGGAAAGTTTTATATTAATTGATGATGTTTTTATTTTTGATCAACTGCATTTTTAAGTTATCATATATGTTGGAGTACGTGTTGTAAAGTTAGAAAAAAAATTCATGAAAGAGTGCTAGATTTCGAAATTTTCAACAAAAGTCCTATTTTTGTCAAAAAAAAATTTTGCTCACTTGACACTTAGTCATTGCTCAAGCCCCAAAAGTAGAGGCTCAATCGCTAGTTTCTCGCTCTAGCGATGGCTCAATTTTTCAAATTATACTTAACGGGCACAAACCCATTTTTTCACAATCACCATCTCTTCTCTTGCATTTTTGGCAGTCACACTTTCATAACCAGCATCCATTAAAATTGCTACTGTACATCATTATTGGGCGAGCTTATCATCTATTAACAACCTATTCAATCAAAATCAAAGGTAAATCGATAGAATCCTAATTTTGACTACTACTAAATTTTTGGGATTTTTGATTTTTTCTATTCTTGCTTCAATTCATACATCTACGTTGCATGTTCAAGAGACTATAATGTTTTATCATGCCTCATTGCATCATTTGTTTCAAAAAATTTCAAACTTAAATGGTATCAGAGCCAATGAAATGTGGTACTCTGGGTATGACTTTTATCTATAGCCAAGTCCACCAAACTCATTAATTTTTCATTTTTATTTTCATGGACTAGGGACCTGGTTTTATATTCATCTCCGAAGTTTTTACTCAATTTTGTTTACTTTCAACATGAATAAATACATGCTATACATATGCCGCCCTTGTGCTTTGATTTAAACAAAAATAAATAAATAAAATATTGATGCATACATTTACACAGATTCTATCTTGAAAAGAGGGTGAAAATTAAAAAAATAAAAAATAAAATTAGTAGCAAATATTATTTTTATGTAGCTAAAAAGAATCCATGAATTAGAGAGAGAAGAGATTGAGTTGAAGAACTTCATCAGATACAATTATGAAGAATCCACACCACAAAATTAGTGACAAGCCTGTCCTTGCTAACACTTTATTTTAATTTTGTTTCTTTACATAATCTTACAAAATAGTAAATGCAGTTCCAATCTGAAGAACAAAACTAAAGAGAACGATTTCTTGAAGCTGACTGGGAGAAATTTAAATGTTGTATCGGGGGCTAACGCTTTAAGGGAAAGGTGTTTCTGTCTGCTTTATGGAATCAGTCGATGCATTTTGGCCAACACTTCCAATGCAATCCCTCCCCAGTTAATTTCGCGTATCATTTTTACAAAATATATGAGCAGAGCAAACAAGCATGCTGATCCGCATATCAAAAAGAGGCCTAAAAAGCTCCTGACTGAAGGTCGGTCTTCGTTGAGTTTTGCACCTTCTAAACTGCACGCACTTTTTAACAACCACTTGTCATGGATTCGTTGGAGCTCGCCATTCTCTGACAGTTTCAGAATTGCTGTTGACATATCGACTGCCAGTTGGGAGCCCCGTTGAAATGCCTGATTAAAACACATACAAAACATCAAGATGCAGCAGTTGATTATCAGGGGAAAAAATGATAAGTATTTTAGACTTACAAATCCCCATCCATATTTCGTGAAATCTTTACCCACAATACTAAATTCACAATGCGTTGAAAGAAAGACTTCTGCATACGCGCGCTCATCAACTACAGCGACTACACCACCATTTTTGGGACCATCCTTTAAAGCTTTAACATAATCTTCTGGTAACTTGAGCGGAACAAGTCTAGACTCCTGAATGCCAAGTTCTTCAACCAGATAATCTCGAGCAAAGGAACCCTGCTGATAACCAATAGGGTCCTTGCTATTTAGCAGACTTCCAATTCCTTTAATTGGAGAAGAAAGCTGCTGCACTGTAAGGATTGATGTTAGGCTAGCAGTGTAACTGGATCTGATTATTAAAACCACGAAAAGCAACAGGATAAACACAAAGCGTCCAAGACTGCCTACAATTTTTCCTCCTGCATAAAACAAAAAAAAATTCAAGAACTCATCTTTTTCCACGCAAGTCATTCAAGTTCACAAGGTTTCACATCACTTACTGCGGGCAACAAAGAGATTGGAGAAGCTAAACCTGCACGGTGAAATCACAAAGAGATGAGAGAAAGATGAAGTATTAATCATAGGAGGAACGTTAACGTTTACAAATAGGATATTTAAGATAAAGGAATGACACAGATAAAGTAATGTAGTGAGCTAACTTTGCCTTCTTTAAAATTTTGATTATGAAATCAGAAACTATTTATAGAAGAAGGACAAATACTTCTAAAATTATTCACAAGTTTGTACTCACTGAGACTTGGAGGTAAAATTACTCAAAATATCTCCTGTATAGTTTCTGGTTTTTTTTGTAGATGGAATGAACTAAAATTAATCTCACCATAGAATGGTAATGAACTGTTCCCTAGGAGGTCCACGAAAATCGCCGTTTATCCTATGCTCCAATATCCAAACGACGACTCCCACGAATAGGAAGAAAACTCCCATGACAACCCACATCGTACAAGTAAATGGCTGGAGAAAAGCCCAAGAACTAGAATGAGACTCCTTAATTGGTGCCACTACAACTAGCCCAGACTCAACAAATGGTTGGGTAAAATCTGCCATCCTTGTTCTATTAGTTGTTATTGCAATGTCACCTACTGCGGCATCAAAAACCTGAATGAAAGAAGAAAAACTAAAGAAATGTTAAAGCCCATTTAATTCTGGAGTTCAAAGGCATATTTGGGAATTTACACGTACCCCTGAGGTAATCAAGCGGATAAGCTCAGTGCCACTTGGGTTGTTATGACCGTCCCCATAGGGGATCAGTTTATGTGGAAGAGCATATGCAAGTAAGTTTATTGCAGCAGTGAAAACATCAATGCAGTATCCTGAGAACATATCAGTGCCAGGTACATAGGAAGCAAAGTCCATGAAACTCACTCGATTTGGGACACCAATTTTCAGATGCCTCCCATAGTGTGGAAACACCCATCCACGAGGTTTCTTTGTTGTTTGCCCCGGCCAAATTATAGGATGTAACTTCTTATTAGAACTAGAATGGTCCAGACGCTTAGTATAGAGTGTATTTGGAGGCAACACAGATAAGCCAGAAAAATTCCAATAACCAACCACTCTAGATCCCGAGCCAATGACATTAATAACTTCAAATGCAGGGAGAATGAGGTTCCTGTCTGAAGTAAACCTGAATGGTCCTGTTACACCTGTCATATCGGCCTTTAAAATGCTGTCAAGCAACAGATTCCCTCCTTTAAAGATGCTCAAAGCATTAAGATTCTGTGTGCCTCCAAGCAATTCCTTTAACTTTGGGTCAGAAGAAAAAGAAATGTTTCCCCCCTGCTCAAAAAAATTATCGATGGCATGAGCAAGTAACCAAACCGTGTCATAGGCATATAGACCATATGTGTTCAAACCAATAGAGGCATGGATTTCCTCTCTTCTAGTCAGATTGCTCCACCGTGATACGAAGTCTTTCTTTAATTTTGATTCTGCAATGTGCATACGCAATGTGATAACTCCTTGGATATTCTTAGTTGCTTCTGAAGACACAGAAGCATACGTATCCAAGAGAGTCGAGAGCCAATTTGTAGCAAGCCACACATATCCCACATCCATCATCCCCAAATATTTTGCAGTAGCAAATATGTCTAGACCACTATCCGGATAAGCGTGAACAACAAGAACCCGGGTCTCTTTTAAAGCCATCCGAACCAAGGCATCTCTTATCTCATCTAAGTTTGCTGTAAACTTTAAAGGTACTTTATAAGAAATCAGACAGCTCCTAGCAGCCAGCTGATCAGATAAGGCAGCTATACCGTTCCTCCCATAATCATCATCAACATAAATTGCAATTACGTCTCTCCATTCATAGTAATTTATGATGTCAGCAATTGCAGCCATCTGAAAAAGATCGTTGGGAGACGTCCTTACTAAAAATGGAAACTGACGTGGAGACAGGGTCGGGTCTGTCGATGAAAAAGATAATAACGGGACATGCAGCTCATTTGCAAAATAGGACACAACATGGGCGGTAACGGAGGATTGGGGTCCAATTATAGCTACAGTTTCTGTCTCCATGAAGCGGATAACTGCAATCATCAATATAGGATTATGAGAGATTTTTTTCTTTCTCACCAGATGGTATGAATATAAGACTTGAAATTATAAAAGTTCACATTGCAGAAATGCGTAGCATTAGATGTCATAAAGAATTTACCCTTTCTCGTTTCTAATAATTCAGTGAAATTACAATCATGCAACGTCAATTTGAGCTTGGTTCCTCCAAGAACATCTGAGTTGGTATTCACGTCTTCCACTGCAGCTTCTATAGCAACTTTTGCAACTTTACCAATGATAGAATCAAATGAAAGTACTGAACCAATGCTCACTACATCTGGCCTTGCTGAGAAACTTTTAGAAACTCCGTAACCATAGAAGAAAGCCAGTAAGACCAACACCAAAAATAGTTTCATGGTAAGCCAAACCCAGCATTTAACCTGCCAGACAGGGAACAAATCACATGTATTTCTAAAATTAATGCATGAAGAATTTCTCCATGTTGGAAAATACGGGTCGCAAGTTGCCGATGTGGGGTGACCCGACCTGCAAGACGTTAAAGTGGGGGAGAGGGAATTGTTTGAATTGGTTTCAAAAACATAACTTCCCTCAACCCCATCAACTCCCAATAAGTCCCTACAACTCCCATCACTTTGTCTTGCAATTTTGGAGAGAAAAGATGGCAGAAAACAATGTAAAATTCGTATGAAAAATTGCACAAAAATTATAAAGGCCAAAAACCATATTTTTGTCTTGGAAACTCACAAAGGAACTTAAAAATGATCTCCTTCCATTGTGAATTAGATTGGGATAATTGGAGTGCACAAAAATGTAGATTTTGGAGTTTGGAAAGTAAGTGATTTAACCACAAAAATTCATGAGAATTCTTCTTTTCAAGTAAGAATCTTGAAGCGAATTTATGTCAAAGAATGCTGCGAATTATATATGCGCTAAAGCAATGTTCAAGTGTAAAAATATCAGCAAAAAGCTCAGCAAAATCTTTAGGGAACTTCAGAAAAATCTTCATTATAGCATGAATTAAGCAAATTAATAACAAATAAAATAGGTAAAGACAATTGTATTGAGCACTTGAAATATTTGAGTAATAAATGTTTTCTTTTTTCCCTTGCACTTGCAAGTATCTTTTTGTCCAAAAAAAACAATGGTATTCAATTGAAGCCAATAGTTCAATATATCAAATTGTAAACACATGCAAAGACATTATCATGGGCAAAGTCGCAAAATTAAATTTATGAACTGAAGGGTATATTGAACTCAGATTCATTATTTCACATGCAACGAAATAAAGATTACTGACTCAAACTGGAAAGGAAACGATGATTAACTAAGGGTAATTACTTTAGGACCAGAAGATCAATTACCAGCAAAGAAAACCCAGAAGCCACTTGCAGCAACCCAGACAAGTTCCATGTGGAAGAAACTTGGGGGGTAAAATCAAAGGAAAAAAAGCAGTTGAAGTTGTATTCCCATGCCGGTATAACACTAGCAGAGCAAAAAATGAAATAAAATCTGCCACTAATAAACGAAGCACATATGAAAGACGAGCAATTTTTTACGGACGAAAAAAAAAAGGTCAGTTATGTTGGATTAGAAAATAATTTCTCATATGGTCGAGGAGACAACGAAGACTTGTATATTTTGCGTAGTCTACAGGGCACATTGATTTTTCTTTGTTTTACTGTTTCCATTGAGAATGGTACTCCAGTCTTAAATGATTGATGGATACATACACCTACCTACATTTGGTTTAGGCACCTATTTCGGCTTCTAGGCGAAGCTTCAACTTGTACGCGTGAAACCGTGAAACTGTGAAAGTGGTATTTGGAACTTAACTGAGATAAATAAGGAACAAATTAAGGGCCCGTTTGGTAGGGATTTTGAGAATTGATTTTTTGATCGTTAGAAGAAAAGTGGGGTCCATATGTGAGAGAAGAAGTCAAAAATTACGACTTACATAGTAAAATAACAGTAAAAAAAATCAATTTTTTGGGACAAAAAATCCCTAACAAACGGGACCTAAATATTAGACGGATTGCACGTCTTCCTTTTTTCGCCCCTATGTCGTCCATGTGGATGACATGGGGACATAAAAAAGGGATCCTATCAACTTGTTTTGACTTACGATAATAAGCTCATAAGCTTGATCTTGCTTCAACGTCGAAAAACAAAAAAAAACTTCTTTCTCCAAGTTCAACTCAAATGTAGCTCCCTTCTTTTCGTTTGGGTGTGAAGTAGCATCAAACTAAAATACCCAAAAAACATTAGCTTTCCTTGGAAAGGAGGTGATCCAGCTGTACCTTATAGTACAATTACCTTGTTACGACTTCACTCCAGTCAGTAGCCCTGCCATTGTCATCTCCTTCACTGCGATTATGGTAACGACTTGAGAGATGATCAACTCTCATAGTGTGCTAGGCAGTGTATACAAGGCTCGGGAACAAATTCACCACCATATGGGTGATCAGCAATTACTAGCGATTCTGACTTTAAGCAGGCGAGTTGTAGCCTACAATCCGAACCGAGGATGGGTTTTTGGGGTTAGCTTACCCTCGTGGGGTTTGCTTTCTATTTTTAAATTGATTCTTTTTTTTTTTGGGTCTTTGATTTAGCAATCCCAAAGTTTCTTTTTGGTCCAATCAAATAAGGAAAAATCTTGTCTTTTTTTCCCCCCAAAAAAGGAAAGAAAATAAAGGAGCAATGAAGAAATAGGAGAGCAATTGAAGGAGAATTACAAGTTTTCGGAGCTAAATTTAACATTCAAAAAGTATAAGGACTAAATATCATATTTTCAAAAATTGCATCAGATCGATTTTGGACGATTGTGAAAAGTGGAGGATTCAATTGAGTAATTTTCTAGTTCATCCGAACATTTCCCACTTATTCGACTGTTGCTGAGTAGTTTTGGATATCAAACGGACCTCCCCTAAAAAATACCATGATAACTTCGTTGCTTTCTATTTTTAAATTGATTCTTTTTTTTTTTGGGTCTTTGATTTAGCAATCCCAAAGTTTCTTTTTGGTCCAATCAAATAAGGAAAAATCTTGTCTTTTTTTCCCCCCAAAAAAGGAAAGAAAATAAAGGAGCAATGAAGAAATAGGAGAGCAATTGAAGGAGAATTACAAGTTTTCGGAGCTAAATTTAACATTCAAAAAGTATAAGGACTAAATATCATATTTTCAAAAATTGCATCAGATCGATTTTGGACGATTGTGAAAAGTGGAGGATTCAATTGAGAAGATTCAAAGATGAAGCAGAAGGACTAAAATTGTACATAAGAAGGACTCGTGCTAAATTAAAGGAGTATATCAGTGGTCAAATTGAAGGCGGTGAAAAGACTGAAGCTCACAATTGAAGCATTGAGCAATGTGATTGATTCCAAAAGTTCCTCCTGCACGCAAAAAACTTGTACCATGTGCGATCATATGGTGGATGTTGGTGATCCTATTTCGTTTCCTTGTCGACTCAACCTTTACTTCAAGAGCACAACTTTTACCTAATCTTGGCACCTAAAAATAACGTGTCTTCATCCACAATACAAGAGGAGACTTTTGGTTTACAAATTACAATATAGCTACTTACAAAAAAAGATAGCCAAGAAGGAAGCCTCGTGAAAAAAAATACATATATTCATCCAAACATTGAAGATGCTTTTTGTGGCAAAACACATTCGTATATCAATTTCATATATCTACTGCTTGGGTTGAAGAAGAAGAAAAATTAAAAGAGATTGATCAAAAGAAAATTAAAAGAGATTCAAAACTTCGAGGATTTCTTTTCAGCCTTCTTTTAAAATTTTAATTCTGGGTGATGTTGGACCGATTCTGTAGTGTTCTCATAATTAATATGATGCTTGACTAATTAAATAGATGCTAGGATAACGCTAAATCTTATGTTTTGAGATTTTGATATTAAGTCCTCGTTTGGTACTCATTAAATTACATTTCATTTTCTCTATTTTATTTTCTACCACAAAATCTTTTATAAAATAATATTACACGTAAATCGAAAATTTTTCTTCTTTCTCAACCATTTATTTTTCGAAAAAAAAAAATTCCACTCCTTTTTATCTCCAAAAAATAGGGGCCTAACGGGAACTAAATTTCAAATTTTGAAATTGAATGTTTGTTGGTTTGTGAATGATTGCCAAAAATTTCATGTCATTTTCAATCACTTGATCACTAATTGATCATTTGTAATTTGTATTGACATAGCAATTAAAAGAGATTCGAAACTTCGAAGAGTTCTTTTCAACCTTCTTTTAAAATTTTAATTCTGGGTGATTTTGTACCAATTCTATAGTGTTCTTATAATTAATATGATGCTTGACTAATTATATAGATGCTAGGATAACGCTAAATCTCATGTTTTGAGATTTTGATATTAAGTTCTCGTTTGGTACTCATTAAATTACATTCAATTTTTTCTATTTTATTTTCTACCACAAAATCTTTCATAAAATAATATTACACGTAAATCGAAAATTTTTCCTCTTTCTCAACCATTTATTTTTCAAAAAAAAAAAAAAAAACAATGTCCACTCCTTTTCATCTCCAAAAAATAGGGGCCTAACGGGGGCTAAATTTCAAATTTTGAAATTGAATGTTTGTTTGGTTTGTGAATGATTGCCAAAAATTTCATGTCATTTTCAATCACTTGATCACTAATTGATCATTTGTAATTTGTATTGACATTCGAGAAAAGGAATAGGAATTTGACACATAATAACCATCATTATAAAGTTCAAAGGGGAATAAAGATTTATCACTATACTTTGCATGATCTTTTTGAATTTTCTTATGATTTAATGCATTTTTACATGTCTCCATCCATCACAAAGATGTAGGAGGGTCAAATGTAAATATATCTAGTTCTAGATGAGAAAGAATATTAAATGAGTTAGGAACATTTATCTTCTTATTCGAATAAGTATTATCTAAATCTTACACTGATATTAAAAGTGATGAATGTAAGAGGATTCGAAATCCTAGCGCTTGCTAATTACTTGAATTTCTAAACCCTTCCCAATTAGCAAGATTAGTTTTAATTTTAATTTGTTAATATAAATCATAAATCTCAATTAATTTTACCATTTGATTAGAGTTAGGTTTAATTGGAACTAGATTATATATTTAGTTCTTTAAGATCAATATTTAGGATAACATCCACTTTATTACTTGTTTATGATACTGTCCACTTGCAGGATTTTACCGCAACACGTTTTTGACTCCATTACTAGAGATTATAGTATTTTTGATAGTTTTTAGTTAATTCTAGCTTTAATTAAAAAAATAAAAATAAAAAAATAAATTTCTTTCAGTTGTGCTACTTATTTTTCTTGGTTTCATTGATAGGGAATTAAAAGGAGGTGGATCCTAAAATTGATTAATATAACATGAGGGAATCTCACTGCCCTTCACCACCACTTTAGTTTACCAAACCCAAAAAAAAAAAAAAAAAAAAAAAAAAAAAAAAAAAAAAAAAAAAAAAAAAAGAAAAAAAGAAAAAAAGAAAAAGAAAGAAAGTATTAAGAGTATTATGGGAATTATGATAATAAAAAAGTCAAGGATCATCCACATGCAAAAATTGATGAAGACCACCACATAATTATGAAGGATTTCTTGACCATAATGGGAGCCCACATAAGTTCGATTGATCTAAATAACATGACTCTATCGGGGATTTCTTTTCCATTCAAAGGATGGGAGCTCAATTAAGTTCAAATTATCCAAACAACAGAATGGAAGAAGCATTAATTAGACTATTAGACACTACGTCTCAGTTTATGTAGAGGAATGAGATTAATTTTTAGAGTCAACAAGCATTTGTCAATACTTGGAAAATCAAATAGGTTAGTTGGTTGAAGTATCTCCAAAATTGTAACCTAGGGAAACAAAATAAATAAATAAGAAGAATGTATAAAGACCGACGAACTAATCATGACACAGTCAAACAATCAATAGCTCAATGAAGATGGAATTAGCATGCAATCATTCGACTTCATTGATTTTGTGACTAAAGTTGAGGAAGAAATCAATTATATTCGTAGTTGAGTTTGATTTGGAAGGTGTAAGCAAGTTATATGATATTGAGAACAGTAAAATAAGAGCTAGTCAAAGTTTTGCGCAAGTCAACCTATAAAAATTAAGCAAGACCTCCAATGTCATACTCAAAATGTTGTGAAGCATTTGTGTAAAAGTGGAGTTAGGACTATATTTGTTCATTGGTTATCCTTCTTTTATTTATTTATTTATTATTATTATTATCATTTTACTTAGGGTAATATTTCTAACACATTTTTTTTTAAGTCTATTTTGTGTATAGGAATTTTATCTTTTCTTTTCTTTTTTACTTAGGGTACTATTTCTAACACAATTTTTTTAAGTCTATTTTGTATACACATGAAGGATAATACATATTTTAAGTTTTGGGGAGTAACTTAGTTATAGTTTGATATATTTGTTTGTGTGTGATACGCATAAAAATTTAAAAAACAATTGGAAAATTTGAAAGAAATTCATGTATGAATCCGATAGCCTTGTCGACTAATGAGTATGATTATTTAAATTTTTTTATATATAGTTCATGAATTGTGAATAGGTAATGCAACTTTATTAATTTGATACTTATCCATGTGGGATTGTGTTATTTTGAACACAA